ACTCCACAGCACATAACAACAACAACAATCAGTTATAGTCTAAAGATGGACTTACAAGCTTTCTATGGTGATGTTTCTGGCTATTCTGTTCTCTCCCCCTCAAGTGTCTATTTTACAATAGTAGGCAATGGAAACCAAGATTCAAAAGATAGCCAGACATCTTAACATTATTTCCCCTCTTTTACCCATTCAAACCATGCCTCAATCCCAGAGTATATCCCAGAGCCCTGTTGTTCCAAGGTTGAGCATACATCATTATTTACCTTTGTCCCACTTAGCCCATGCAAACCTGCCTAACTGTTTTCCCATCTGCCTTGTTCTTCCATTCCCCTCCTTCTTGTGTATTGCCCCCCAGCACCCAAACTATCTATGTCTATTCCCTACCCTGTGCTCCACCTTCCCCTCCCTCCCCTCACCCCACCCCATTGTTGTTGTTGTTATGTGCCATCGAGTCGGTTCCGACCCATAGCGACCCAGTACAGGGCACCCCACCCCATACACCCCGGTAAACAGCAAATACTTTTTTTTCCCTTTTAGTGTGGGTATTTTTTCTTAAGCTTTTACAATAATGGTCCTATGCAGTATTTCTCCTTTTGTAACTGAAATTAGTCAAGGTTCTCAAGGTTCATCCATGTTATGTGGTGGCTTGCAGCTTCCTTGTTATTCTTCAAGGTAGCATAATACTCCATTGTGTGTATGTACCACAGTTTGTTTATCCATTCTTCCATTGATGGGCACTTAGGCTGTCTCCATCTTTTTGCTATTGTAAATCCATTTGTTTCTTTAGTTGAGAAATCCTTATCAAGCCAGAAATTCTGGTACTGATGTCCTGTGCTCTGCATGGCTTCAGTTGATGGTGCTGCTAACTGAAATGTCAGGAGTTTGAACTCACCAGCAACTCCACGGGAGAAAGACGAGGCAGTCTGCTCTTGTAAAGATTTACAACCTTGGAAGACCTGTGGGGTAGTTCTACTCTGCCTTATAGTGTCGCTGTCAGTTGGAATCGCTGTGGACAGGGCCCCACTTGGGACCCAGTGTAATCTCCAATTTGTCACCACTTCCCTGATGCAGATGTGATTTTCCCCCCCTGGAACTGACCTGGATATAAAAACAAGGAAACTAATGGTGGGTATTCAGGCGGCTCCTTGTAGACCCTAGAGATCTAGGATGAAATAAAACCAGGGAGAAGAGGACAAGGTTTGGGGCTTGATGAAGTGGTCCTGAGTCACCACTCAGCACGAGCAGTGTGATGAAGCCCAGGCCCCGTGTCCTAACTGCTAGTCTCCTTGCCTTCCAGGTCATTCCTACTCGGGGAAGTCCACCATGTCCTCAGACCACCACACCCAAGGTGGGTACCTCAGGGCTGGGGCAGCAGTGCATCTATCCCAACCTCAGTTTCCTTCCCTGTAAAATGGGTTGACATCTTCCTGGGTACCCTGCTACCCACCCCTGCCTTTCTCTGGGCCTCAGGTCCTCCCCTCCCCTACCATTGGCTGCACTGCCTGGATTCCCGTCCCTAGCTGCTTCTGGTGACAGAGCCTACAGTTTCTCTGCCTTGTCCCCTACACCCCGTTACTCATGGGGACTCCCCAGTTGCAAGGCTGTGAGGCTTTGAGACTTCCACTAGTCTTGACCCAGATCATCAAGAAAGGGGAGAGTTGTGAAATTGGCACCATGGGAGGTGGCAACCAGGCACAGATTTTGGCTCCAGGTAATGCCTAACACATGGAGGGAGTGTGCAGTTCTGCTCTGCTGTCTTCTTCAGGTTGGATCTCAACAGGGTCTCATTTCAGGGTTGGAAGCTCATTGTTCCCAATCTGTCCCCAAACCTTCCCCCTCACTGCCCATCTGGCTGCTCTCCTGCACCCCTCTGCCCACTGCAGGATCCCAGGGCATGGACTGTCCACCCCAGAACTGCATGCATGTCCAGTTTAGGGCCTCTTGGCCCAGGAAGCGAGCTGAGGCAACCACTCGGCTCACCCTGTTTCAACCTTATGGGGCTGACTTTCTATAAACCACCAAGCAAATATGAGAGTTGAAGCAGAAAGAAAGGCCAGGAAGAAATGCCAAGTAGGGGAAGAGGTTTGTCAGAGTTGAGCAGATGAGGAATGTTGTTGTTGTTGTTAAGTGCCTTCGAGTCGGTTCCGACCCATAGCGACCCTGTACAGGGTTTCCGCGGGTGTAAATCTTTACGGGAGTAGAAAGCCTCATCTTTCTCCCGCGGAGCGGCTGGTAGTTTCGAACCACTGACCTTAAGGTTTGCAGCCCGAATAGCCGTTGGCAAGTGCCGCTGTAAGGAGGTGACATTTGAGCAGAGACCTGGGTCCAGTGAGGGAACAGTTCTGTGAATATTGGCAGAATATCAAGGCAAAGGAAAGGCCCTGAGTTAGGAACCAGCTGGATGAATGTGAAGAATAGCAGGAAGGTCAGTGTGGGCAGCTTATTAGAGCCACGTGTTCTGGTGTGGTGCTATAAGATCAGCACTGGACTGCAAACCACAAGGTCAGCAGTTCAAACCCACCGCCTGCTCCTTGGAAACCCTATACAGGATTGCTATGAGTCGGAACCAACTCGACGTCATTTAACAACAATGACAACAGTAGTGTTTAAGAGTCCTGGTATGGCACTGCAGGATAAACACTGGACTGATAACCAAAAGGTCGGCAGTTCAAACCCACCACCTGCTCCTTGGAAACCCTATACAGGGTCTCTATGAGTCACAACCTACTTGATGGCACTTAGCAACAGCAAGAACAGCAGTGAGTTACATAGTGAGGTTACTCATTGAGCTACTAACTGCAAGGTCAGCAGTTCGAATCCACCAGCTGCTCTGCAGGTGAACTATGAGGCTTTCTGCTCTGGTAAAGATTTACAGGCTCAGAAACCCTATAAAAGGTCTCTATGGTTGGAATCAACTCAATGGCACACAACAGTAATAACCACATTAAAATAGTAAAAAGGAACAGGTGAAATTAATTTTCACATTGTATTTCATGAAGTCCAATACACAAGGGAGCTTGGAAAAGTTCGTGGAGAGACTCCATTACTTTCAATTCAATTTTTCCATGAATTGTTTGAAGGCCCCTCGTAGACAAAATATGAGCATGGTAGCATGTAAATAGCATAAAATTATTAGGGAGATACTTTAATGATTGTTATCAAGCTAAATCATAAAATCTGATATGTATTTTGCATTTTTATTGTTGTTGTTAGGTGTGTTTGAGTTGGCTTTGACTTAGAGTGACCCTGTGTAGATCAGAACGAGACACTGTCCGGTCCTGGGCCATCCTCACAATCATTCCTGTGTTCGAGCCCATTGTTCAGTCACTGTGTCAGTCCGTCTCACTGAGGGCCTTCCTCTTCTTCACACATCTGAATTCCAACTAACTTCACATATTCAAAAGCCATCTGTAGCTAATGGCCACCCTATGCGACAATGCTGGTTTAAAGGATTACATTACCAATATGGACATTTCTCCACCCATCTGTCAGTTTGCTTTACTGCGGTGGCTTGCATGTTGCTGAGGTGCTGGAAGCTAGGCCATTGGTGTTTAAAGGACTAGCAGGAGCACCCATGCTGAGCAGCTTTTTCAGCAGAGCCTCCAGACTAAGAAGATCAGAAAGAAAGGTCTACTTCCTGGAGCTCTGCTTCCAAAAAGCAAGATAGCCAAATACTGTCTGACCGGGCAGAGTCTCATTCTGTTGTACATAGATAATCATCATTTGGAACCAGCTCAGTGACTAACAAGATAAAATTCTAACCTCCATTATGTTGATAAATAACAACAATAACAATAATAATACTGACCTTTTGGGCTCTCTGAGGCCTTCAAATGCAGTGAGAGCTTGACCTTCCTCCCCCCTCCCCCCACCTCCAAAGCCAGGATAATAATAATAAACTGTTGATTGGTAGTATTTGTGTGCTGTCAAGTTGCTTCTGACTCACAGCAACCCTGTACAGGGTTTCCAAGCCTGTAAATATTTACAGGAACAGAAAGTTTTATCCTTTTCCCATGGGGCAGCTGGTGGATTTGAACTGCTAATCTTGTTGTTAGCAGCCCAATGTGTGACCCACTATGCCACCAGAGGTCCTTAATAATAAACTTCTTTTTGTTGTTAAGTGCGTTGAGTCGGTCCCAACCCATAGCGATCCTGTATAGGGTTTCCAAGGAGCAGCCGGTGAACTTGAACCACCAATCTTGTGGTTCAAACTGACTTTGCAGTCCAGCACATTAACCCACAGTGCCACACCAGGACTCCAATAATAAACTAGGCCCTACATTTTCTTGACTCTTTGTCGAAGCCTTGAAAATTAGGCATGCCACCCATTTTACAGACAGAGACTGAGGTTTAAAGGAATGAAATCACTTCCCAGGACTGCGCAGCCAGATGCAGTACAGCCAGAGGAGGCATTAGAGCCCAGGCCTGTCTCCTGAGCTCATCTGTGGCTGGGTCACTGACTATGAAAACTGAATTGAGCCCACAGAATTTGTCTCTGCCTTTGTCTGGCTAATCCCCAGTCTGGGAGAGACCAGTGTGTTTACCCTGTCCAGTGCTGACCATGTGGCTTCTGCAGCTGCTCTTCCCGGGAGTCCACTCCAGAGGCAGGACCCTAGAAAGAGTGGCTAGAAAACCTCTGTTCAGTTTTCTCACTGGATTCATGCAAAGTGCATCTGGCCTCTCATTTAGCACTTGGCTGTGACCTTGGGTGCATCTTGTCACTTTGCCGAGAGCTTCAGTTCCCATGATGAGGATGCTGTCAGCCCCCTAGTGTAGGCTGATATAAAGACCAGGTGACACAAGGGGAACCAAGTCCCCTGGCAAAGTATCTCAAGTGGGAGGCCACCAGGGAGACCAGGAAAGCCCTGTGGGGCTTGGAGAAAGGACCTGGGTATGTGTAGCTTTACAGGTGAAATGGGGATGAGGTGCACAGTTTCTAACAGCAGCAGAAGCAGCTCAGGAAGTGTGGTCTAGCACCTTGCTACTCCTAATAAGACCCATGTACCATCAGCATCAGCATCACCTAAGAGCTGGGGCTACTCCCCAGACCTGCAGAAACTGCATTCTGTCAACATGCTCTGTGTGCGCTTTGGAGTTTGGGAAGAGCTGCTCTAGAGGAAACAGCATCAGAAGGCCTGGACTGCAATGTAAGCTTGGCCATGTACCCACTTTTGGGACCTATGGCATCTCCCTTGTTGTTGTTGTTTTTAAGTGCTGTTGAGTCAGTTCTGACTCATAGCAACCCTGTATACAGTTTCTGAGGAGCAGCTGGTGAGTTTGAACCACTGTCTTTGTGGTTCTAACCAACCTTGTGGCCCAGAGCTTATCCTACTGTGCCACACCAGGCATCTCCCTTAATTAATACAACTATTACATAATTATATTTTAATTATTAATACTTATACTTTATTATAATTTAAAAGATTATATTTAATTATAAGTATTAATAATTATAATACAATTATGTAATCTGCTAACCATTGTCCCCTGAATCCTTATAAGAGTTCCATGAGATAGGTACTCCTTCTGTGTACCATTTTGTTGTTAGGTGCCATTGAGTCAGTTCTGACTCACAGAATAAAACACTGTCTGGTCCTTCACCATTGTCACAATTGTTACCTTTGAGCCCGTTGCTGTCAATCATACTTTACAAATGGGGAAGTCTCACAGCTGTTAAATGGCAAGACCGTTTGCATTTATGTTGGGTTTTTGATACTAAAGGGTGGAGTCTTTTAGCATCCTTCATTCTTTCCTCTGCTCTGCTCTCCTCACCATGAAGGGGGTTGATGTTCTCTGCTCTCCTCTCATGATCCTCACTGTGAAGCAGGTTGATGTTCTCCTCTGCTCTGCTTTGCAGTCCTCACTGTGAAGGTGGTTGATGTTCTTCTCTGCTTTGCTTTCATGGTCCTCTCCATGAAGGGGGTTGGTGCTCTCTCTCCTCCTGTTGCAGATCATCATCTTTGAGCAGGAGAACTTCCAGGGTCGTTCTCACGAACTTGGTGGACACTGCCCCAACCTGAGGGAGACTGGAGTGGAGAAGGCAGGCTCTGTCCTGGTGAAGGCTGGACTGTATGTACCTGGGTGCTGCACCTCAGCAGGGTCCATTGGGTCTGAGGCAGTTGGACTTTGGAGTTGGGTGCATCACTGTGCCCCTAGTCAGGGTTGTCAAACAATCAGGATTCCAAGTCTGACAGCCTCATGACAGAGCTTGTGCTTGGGGAGTCAGACTGAGCAGGCTTCAATCCTGGCTGTGTCATGTTGGGCCAGCCTCAGTTTCCTCCTGTGTAGGCTGAGGGTAACTCCATCTTCCTGCAGATGAGGAGAGAGAACTTAAGGCTCTTGAGCGTGAACTTGATACATAGTCCCTGATACATGTTGTTAAATGCCATTGAGTCAGTTCTGACTCACAGCCACTTTGTATAAGGTTTCTGAGGAGCAACTATTGGGTTTGAACCACTGACCTTCAGTTAGCAGTCCAAGGCTTACCCTGAAGTCCCATCTAAATTCAAGCACAGTGAAGCAACTATAGCACCACCTCGAAATGCAACCAGAGCTTTGTGCTGTGTTGATTTCAACAACCTAGAGCCCAAGCACCAAATATCCTTGAAGGAGCTCTGGCATGCTGTGCTTAAGCACTTGGCTGCTAACCAAAAGTCCAGTGGTTCAAACCCACCAGTCATTCTGAGGGAGAAAGATGAGGCAGTCTGCTTCCGTAAAGATTTCAGCTTCTGAACCTTATGGGGCAGTTCCATTTTGTCCTGTAGGTTCATTATAAATTGGAATTGACTCAACAATCCTTGTTTGTTTAAAAAAGTTTTTTTTTAATGCATCCTTCTTAAAATGGGCTGCTGTGAGTCCTAGGGCTGGAATGAGTAACTAGGGTCCTTTGAGAGGAGGCTTGGGGTGACCCTGATCTCTCTCTCTCAATCTCTTGATCACAGCTGGGTAGCCTATGAACAAGCCAACTGCAAGGGGGAGCAGTTTGTGTTTGAGAAGTGTGAGTACCCTTGTTGGGACATAGGACAGACTCCCTCAACTCCCTGAGGCCCATCAAAATGGTAAGTCCCTCCCCATCCCCATCCGCTCTTCTCTTTGCTCACTTGGTAGCAGATGCTCGGGGACCAGGAAAGAGCCTTCTTTGGTGGGGGACTTCTTGCATAAGTCCTTTGACCTCTCTGATTCTCAGTTTCCTCATCTGCAAAATGGGGGTATTAGTACCTACTGTCCTGAGATTAAGGAGCCCTCTTGGTGCAGTCGACTAAACATTGGGCTGTTAACCACAAGGTTGGCAGTTTGAAGCTACCAGTCACTCCACAAGAGAAAGATGAGGTGTCTGCCCCTGTGAAGGTTTACGTACTATAGGGTCACTTTGAGTTGGAATGGAGTGGACAGCAGTGGGTGAGTCCTTAGATCTCACTATGCTTAGCCTGAGGGTGGCCGGATTGCACTACTCTAATCAACCAGCTAAGGAGCTCTGGTAGCGTAGTGGTTATAAATTGGACTGTGAACCTCAAGGTCAGCAGTTCGAAACTACCAGCTGTTACGCGGGAGAAAGATGAGGCTTTCTGCTCCCGTAAAGATTTACAGCCTCAGAAACCCTGTGTAGGGTCACTGTGGGTTGGAACCAACTCGATGACACTTAACAACAACAATCAACCAGCTGCCGTTGAGTTGATTCTGATCCATGTGTGTCAGAGTAGAACTGAGCTACACAGGGTCTTCAATGGCTAATTTGAGGAAGTAGATCATCAGGCCTTTATTCCTAGGCACCTCTGGGTGAACTCGAACCCTCAACCTTTTGGTTAGTTGCTGAGTGCACTAACCAGTTGTACAACCCAGCTAACAAAAGCAACACTTCTAAAGAATAGAAGAAACCCTGAGTTGGGGTGGAGAGAAGTAAGTTGTTAATAAGTGCCATCAAGTCAGTTCCGACCCATAGTGATCCTATATGGAGTTTGAGGAGTGGCTGGTGAGCTTAAACCACCAACCTTGTAGATGAATCTGACTTGCAGTCCAGCGTATTAACCCATAGCACCCGATGCCTCTTTGATCTTGATTCTGGCAAGTGTCTAAAGTCTCAGGAAAGGCAGATGGCTCAACCATGCTTGGTCATACCCCCAAACCTCCTAAGTCCAGACTACTCCTTGATGGAACATTGGAGAACATTCACTGAATTTAGCATCCCATAGACTAAGGTTCATAGCTTGACCCTGCTACTCCCAGAAAGCAATCCTGGGCAAATTACTTCACTTTCCTTCTAGGCCTCAGTTTTTTCATCTGTTAAATGAGACAAGACTTGTTTAAAAGATTAAATAGGTAAGAAAAATGCCTGGCACACAAGAACAGAAGAGTAAGAGAGATGGAGCTAGAAGACAGCCAAACTGACGTGAGGGCCTGTTAGAGGCAGCTTTGACTGTGACTTGGTTAATGTACACAATCAGCCTCTGTGTGTGCGACATGCCCACCTTTTTTACAGGGAAAGTTGAAGCAGTGGGTAGAGATGTGACATTTTGGGATCCAATATTCCTCAGAGTGTAGAATCTGGGAGCACATGTTCCATTCACAGGACTCTGTAGTAACTTCACTGTTCAATGGTGATTATGGTGGCTTCTCAGTGGTGGGTGCATTGGGGTGTAGGTGAAGTAGACAGCTCTGGACTCTTCCATCACCCTTAGCTCACTCCCCATCCACAGGACAGCCAAGAGCACAAGATCACCCTCTTTGAGAACCCCAACTTCACAGGGGATAAGATGGAGATCATCAACGATGACATTCCCAGCTCCACGCCTATGGCTACCAGGAGACGGTATCTTCTGTGAGGGTGCAGAGTGGCATGTGAGTACAGCCCCAGCCCTGGCTCACCCTGCCCAGGGCTCAGGCTCTGGGATCAGAACTCATCTAAGTTCTGTCTTCCCACTGGAAAAAGGACATCATCAGCCTATAGGTGGCTTTCAGCTCTGGCAGTGATGGCCAGACCTGCCTTTTGCAGTAGAGAAGCCTGGGCCTTCATCTCAGCCCCATAGGGCAGAACAGTCCATGTTGGAACAGGGGACAAGTTGAGGCAGACGTGGAATTAGGGGAAGGAGTAAGTGGCATGCTGTCGTGTACTGTGTGAGTTCCTGAGTTTAGAAAAAGAGGAAGTATCTTTTTCTAACAAATTAAATGTATTTGGCACTCAAGCCTTGGCCGTCACTGGGAATTTCTCACTGTGAAACTTTTAATTACATGGGGGTCCACGAATGGACTTCGGGCAGTGGTGTGCTGGAGTTGGTTTTGTCCAGCTTGGAAGAGATGGCAGTTAAACTTTCAGGACTTTTATGAGCTGGTTGTTTAATCATTATTATCTTGAAATCAGCTCTCATGGGACAATTTACACCACAGAAATTGACACCACCAAATACCCGCATGCCCAAGAGAGTCAATTTACTAGCTTTTTGAGGTCTGGCAAGCTTCTCAAAAAGCTCTGTGTTGGTCCTCATTTAGCTGGTGCAGCTATATGCCCAGATAGTGTTAAATGATCAATATGCCTAGATAGATTGAAAAAGCCTACCTTCTTGCCTTCAGAGACCTTACAGTCTAACTTTAGGGCCAACTATTCATCACTGAAAATGCCATACAAGTCTAAGCTACTTCCCTGAGCAAGAGACTTCTGAGTTGTGATATCAAAGAAGAATAGGAATGACAGAGGAGACAGGAAGAATGCGCCCCCCTCCTCAGTCTTCTGCTGTCTGTCTCCCCTTCTTTGGCCTTGCAGGTGGATTGGTTGCCGTACCCTGGCTACCGTGGGCTGCAGTACCTCCTGGAGAAGGGAGACTACAAGGACAGCGGGGACCTTGGGGTCCCCCAGCCCCAGGTGCAGTCTGTGTGCCACATCCGTGACATGCAATGGCACCAGCAGGGTGCCTTCCGCACTTCCAACTACTATGTCCCTCCATCGCCCTCTTTCCAGGGGCCAATTCTGCTGCCCAGGTTCCCCGGATAATCAATAAAGTGTGACCTGCAGCTTGTCTGCTGTGGTGTCTTTAATTCTTAGTGAGAGCTCTGTGTGTGTGTGTGTGTGTGTGTGTGTGTGTGTGTGTGTGAACAGAGAGAGAGAAAGAAAGAGACAGAGACAGGGAAAAAGAGAGAGAGAACAAGAAAGAGATAGAGTCAGAGAGACACACAAAGAAAGGCAGAGAGACACAAAGAGAGAGGGAAAGAGAGAGCCAGAGAGAGACACACACACACACAAGAGGCAGAGAGAAAGAGAGAGAGAAAGAAGTACACATACACAGAGACACACACAGAGAAAGAGAGATACATAGAAAGCGAGAGAGACAGAGAGAGGAAGACACACACACACAGATAGAAAGAAAGAGAGAGGCACACACAGAGAGAACCAGAAAGTGTCTGCGATACACAGGACAGCTTTCTAGCTCCACAGCTGTGTGTGATCTTGGGTACATCGCCCAATGTCTCTGGCCTCTGTTTCCTCACCCCACTTACAATCCCTCTGCCCCTGGATGGCGATATTGGTGGACCTCTTGCATGCATATAATGTAGTGGCTAACCATAGACCCTGGTGACCCTGTGTGTTGCACAATAGAGCTGTGCTCCGTAGGGTCTTCAAAGCTGTGTGATCTTTCATAAGCAGATTGCCAGGTCTTACTAGGTGGGTTCGGACCATCAACCTTTCAGCAAGTAGCTCATCGCTTAACTGTTTGAGCCACCTAGGGACTTCTGTAGATCCCCTAAACCAAACCAAACCCTGAACTCACTGCCTTCAATTCTACTGAGACTCACAGTGATGCTATAGGACAGAGGAGAACAGCTCCCTAGGGTTTCTCACCTTTCTTCTGCAGAACAGCTGGTGGGTTTGAACAGCTGACCTTATGGTCAGCAGTCCAATGCTTAACCCCCTATGCCACTTGCCCTGTTGTTGTTGTTGCTAAGGGCTTTCCAATCAGTTCCAACTCATAGTGATCCTGTGTAGGGTTTCTGAGGAGCAGCTGGTGGGTTTGAACTGCTGACCTTGTAGTTAGCAGTCCAGTGCTTACTTATTCTACAGCGCCACACCAGGAAGCCCTTAAAAATGTATCCACTGCCTGCCATTCCCACATTGTGGGGTCATTATCCAAAGCCTGGGAGGTATTTTGTATGCCAGAGTATCCCATCACCCTACAACCCTCACTTCATCCCTGGGAAGTGGGTCTAATGACAGGCTGTGTATTTGAATGTTCATTGGCTCCTTCATTCGTTATTGGATTGGTTTGGTCAGGTCCCTAGCCATTGGGATTTGGGTTCCAAACTCTCAGAGATCTGGGTTCAAATGGCTTTTCTGGGGGCACTGGCCAGTGATTTAGCCTCAGATAAGTCATTTTCTTAGAGTCTCAATGCCGTCTCTTTAGAAGTCCTGGTGTGGCTCTGTAGAACAGCACTTCAAACTCACCGCTCACTCCTCAGAAACCCTATAGTTTTGAGTTGCTGTGGGTTGGAGGTGACCTGACAGCACACAACAACAACAGCAATGCTTTAGGGTCAAGGAAACTTGGTGGTGCAGTGGGTTAAATGTTGGGCTGCTAAGCACAAAGTCAAAGGTTCAAACCCACCATCTGCTCTGTGGGAGACAGCTGCTCCTATAAAGTTTACAGGCTTGGAGACCCTAGGGAGAAGTTCGACTCTGTCTTATTGACAGTAGGTTTGGGTTTGGCTTGGACCTTATAGGGTTGCAGTAAGGATGAAATGAGATAGTTTTAGTGTTTTCTCTCTTTCTTCATCCTATGTGCTGCAAATATCGGCTCCCAAGTATGACCTCTTTCCCCTCTGTGGTTGGTGTCGTTCGATGTGTTGCTAAGTGCTCATAACAACCCTGTGTAGAATTTCTGAGGAGCAGCTAGTGGGTTTGAACTTTTTACCTTGTGGTTCGCAGTCCAGTGGTGATCCTACACACCACACCAGTTCATTTTTGGACGGAGTAGTCTAAAATTTTAATGTAACCAAACATCCATCTTTTTTCCCTTATGTGTCTTCTACATCTTGTTTCAGAAATTCTTGCTAATTTCAGGTCACAAATATTTTCTCCAATTTTTTTTCCTGAAAAAATAATGAAGTTTATCTCTTCTCATTTCAGCACTTCGTCTTTATGGACATTGTTTTTGTGTATGGTATGCAGTAGGGGTCTAATTTTTTGAAAAAAAAAAATTGTTTTTAAACTTTGCACAGCTATTGTCCTGGAGTTGATTTATTGAGTAGTCCATTTTGTCAGCATGGTGGCGCAATATGACATTTCCATATATGTATGGACTCTATTTATGGGCTCCTTCCTGTGCCTTTAAGCTATGAGATTGTATGCAGCTAACAGAAGAATGTTGGTTTGAACCCACATAGTGGCGCTGTGCAAGAAAAACCTGGTGATCTGCTTCCATCAAGATTAGAGAAGGTGGTGGGGGTGGGGGTGGTTGCGTGCCATCAAGTCTACACCAACTCATACAGATCCTGTATAGGGTTTCCGAGGCTGTAAATCTTTACAGCAGCAGAAAGTCTCATCTTTCTCCCATGGAGCATCTGGTAGATTCAAACTGCCGACCTTGCAGTTAGCAGCCCAGCTCGTAATCCACAATGCTACCAGACTTCAGTTATACAAGGGAGTGGAGAAACTTCAAAAAGTTTGTGGGAAAATAGAACTAACGTCGTTGGAATTGTCCCACAAACTTTTTGAAGCTCCCTCAGAGCCAAGAGACTCCTATGGGGCACAGTTCTACCCTGTAACATGTGGGGTTACCATGAGTCATAATTGACTTGACGGTAATCAGTTTGGATTTGGACTTTTAGTGTATGAGGACTCCTGGTGTGGTGCTGTGGGCTAATGCACTGGACTGCAAAGTCAGTTTGAACTACAAGGTCTGCGGTTCAAGCTCACCAGCCGCTCCTTGGAAATCCTATACAGGGTCATTACGGGTCAGAACTGACTAGACGGCACTTAACCACCACCACCATCACCACATACGTCTTATAGTGCTCTACATCATTATTCTTTTTCCACCTAAAATCACCCACCTCAAATCACTCCTGATGTGCATTGTAGGATCAACACTGGACTGCGAACCACAAGGTCAGACATTCAAACCCACAAACTGCTCCTCAAAAACCTTATGCAGGGTCGCTGTGAGTGGGAACCGACTCAATGACATGTAACATATTCAGAAAGATGGAAAACCCTGCTGAATGAGCTAATGTAGGTCAAGTGGTTACCATGGAAATGGGAGATTACGTGTTCAATAAACGTTACTGTCTTTCATCTATTCACTCATCCGTTGTCCAACACTTATTGAGTGCCTATTTCATCAGTCTTAGAAGAAATATAAGAATGTTCCTTGGAAGGGAGGACAGTGAGACTTGGGCTTGCTTACGTTGGACCTGCCATCAACACAAGTTGCTCGAAAGGAACATCCTGTTTGGTTGATGAGGATGAGAGAGGCCATCTGACACAATGAGCTCAAATGTAACAAGGATTGTGAGGACGGTGCAGGCTAGGCAGGGCCTCGTTCTGTTGTACAGAGGATTGCTATGAATCGGAATGGACTTGGCAGCACCTCACAACATTTGTGTTCCTGGAACTGGGGAGAAGAGGATCTAAGGTCAGTACCATAGAGCCCTGCTCCCAGGGAGATTGGGGGAGGGCCATAGCTCTGAATCCCTGGTAGTGGTAGGTAGGAGGAACCAGGCATACCCTGAGAAAATAGGGTAGCCAGGGCTGACTTCTCAAAGAAGTAGGATGCTGAAGGAAAGAAGTGCAAACTGCCAGGTGAATCTTGCAAACATTCTTTGCAAAGGAAACATCATGTACAAAGTTGGGGATGCATCGAAGAGCATGCACTGTTCCCGTATTTCAGGTACACTGGGTCTTTTGGGGGCATAAACACATATACAAGAACAAGTTTCTGAAATACTGGAACAGGATGATGATGAGGGTGGTGATGATGTTTGATACCATGTGAAAACCCCTGAGTCAATTCACACTCATAGCAACCCTACAGGGCAGAACAGAACAGCTCCGGAGGCTTCCTGAGGCTTTCAGTCTTTATGGGAGCAGACAACAAGCTTGTGGTTAACAGCTCAGTGCTGAAATCACCATGCCTTCAGGACTCCTGATACCATGAGGAATCACAGTTACCTGTTAGACGTCTGGTGTGGTGCTGTGGATCAACACTGGACTGCAAACCACAAGGTCGTAAGTTCAAACCCACCAGATGTTCCTCGGAAACCCAGTACAGGCTCACTATGAGTCAAAACCAATTTGATGACCCTTAACAATAACAACAACATTGCCACAGAACAGCTTACTTCAAACCAGTAGCATAATTGCAACAATCACTTTTGCTCACAAATCTATAATATGGGCAGGATTTAGTGGTGACAACCTCTCTGATCCAAATAGAGTCCCACTGTGGGATAAGTCACAAAAACAAGCAGTTCAAACTCACCAGCTTCTCCTTGGGAGAAATAAGACTCCTGTAAGGAGCTCTGGTAGTGTAGTGGTTACGAATCGGGCTGCGAACCTTAAGGTCAGCAGTTCGAAACTACCAGCCGCTCCGCGGGAGAAAGATGAGGCTT